CAACAACCCAGACTTAATCTGCAGCACTTCAAAGCCTGACACATCTGGATGGAATTGTGATAGAGCAGGCTGTCTATCTATAAACAGTGGATGCACTTGTGGTTGCTGCTACCACCAGAAGAAGGGTCCCTGTTCAAAAGTGTTTGAAGTCATTGATGACAAGGTTGAAGCACAGATCTGCTATAGGTATCAAGCAAAATCCGTACGTAGATGGTTAGAGTCCTTTCAGGAATTCAGGAAAGGTTTCAGGTTCTCAAAGCAATTTGGAAGTATCCAATTTTACAACAGGATTAATGAACTTAGATCCAGTGCAGTTGGCACATGTGTCTGTGAACTGCAGACTCACTTCATGCGCATAGTTGCTAAGCATAGATGGGTAGACATCTCACACTGCTGTTTTGACTCGTACTCTTATACAGAAATATATTATTATATTCGATATATTTATTATATTATGATAAAGACTAATAAGATTAAGGGGGTAGCCACGTGGCTGCAGTGGCAAATTATGGTTAAAGGCAGATACAGTATGTACAACAACAGGTTGGTTGTTAAAGAAAAGAACCTGAGCTCGGCCATTAGTGTCATGATTGAGGAAAAACGGAAATCAGCCGAATAACTGAAACCGAAATTGGGCACATTAGCAAGATTATAACAGAGAGACTAGTTGAGAACGTCGTCGAATCTACAGGACTAAACCTTTGGAAGAGCACCCGTGAAGTACTCGAATGGTATAGAAGTTTCCCCAACAAACAATCCGCGAAATTCATTAACTTCGACATAATAGATTTTTACCATTCGATCACCGAGAGCCTTTTGACAAAAGCGGTCCACTACGCAAGCAAATACACGAAAATCAAAGAGCCCGAGAAAGACATCATTGTTCACACCAAGCACGCATTAGTATTTAACAACGGAGAACCTTGGATAAAGAGAAATAACGTAAGAGGAGTCGATATCGGAATGGGATCCTTTGACGGAACAGAATCGTGCAAACTGGTGGTCTGCTACAACCAAAGTACAACCACAACCAAACTATTGGAATTCGCTGGGTCTATACAGAGACGACGGCTTCGGAATTCTAAACAAGACACCAAAAGAAATCGAAAACGCAAAGAAAGACATCTGCAAAACTTTGGAACAATGGTCTACAAATAACGTTTGAAGCAAACAAAAGAATTGTAATTTTTTGGATGTGACATTGAGCTCGCAACAACACATGCCGTACATTAAACCAAACAACAAATTACAATATGAACAAATTATAAACTTCGGCGCCACCAGAAATCGCCCAGGTGCTGAAGTGCAACATTCCAGGTCATGTGAACTTCACGCGATACCTCGCGAATATTGCTGACGAGGTCACGTGGGTCGATGGCGACTACCCGAAGTTTAGCCTACTGCAGTAGCAAAGGGCGTTAGTCTAGCATTTTGTACAAAAAGCAGAGGCGTTCCTCGTGTGAGACGGCAAACATTTCTTAGTGTCTTTGACCACGTTTGCGACGATGACGTACTTGCTGACGTCTGCAGTAACATAACTTTTTCTCCCATGCGCTCGCTCCTATCATCTGTCTCTCAACCCCTGGTTGATTTTGGTATATTGTTCCTTCATGTCGTTGCGTTCTCTGTCTGTCAGAATATTGGCAGAGACACACACTAATAAAGGAAGACTCTCCCCAATCTAATACAAACTCCATCTACTCGACCGTGACTACTGCCTTGCCTCTTCTGCTAATATGGTTTCTTGTGAACTTGTCAGATGCGGCTCCAGCCAATGAGCCAAAGAGACCAGGACAACTGGTTGCCCTTCCTACTAAAGAATCTCTAATGTCCTTCAGTAGGAATAGAGAAGGTAAATGGTGGCAGTTCGACACTGTGACAGCATGTGATCCCTCTGATTTTTGCTATGGTGGAGCACTTGCGTACTCTCCCCATGACAATCCGTTAGATTCCTATGAGTTCCCTGACCACACCACTGTGTCTGCCAAACAGATACTAGACAAGATGCCAGCTTCAGACTATCACCACTGCAGCATAGCAGGTGAAACCGTTGTCGCCAGAAATCTTTTCTCATCACATCATCGGAGGTCCAACAGCCTTACCGTCAATGACCAAGTAGGAATAAACTACATGTCAAGATGTCTAAGCATCAGCTTAACTGCAATCTGTGACTTGGTCAGGCAATTTGCCTTTCTACTAGAATTCAGGTCACTGGCTGCTAGAGACAAGCGTTGCAACACCGAATCCCCTGTAGCATTTAACAACATTGGCAACTGCTCTGTTGATAGGTTAGCTCCCAGCTGCGGATCAATGATCAACCCCTGGAGAGAAGACTGTAGTGCAAACTGGGTAGCTAACTCAGAGGCAATGACTAGCGGATCATTTGAACACAACAAAAGGGATAGCAGGGGCTTCACTTGGTTAAAGGGATCATATGAGACAGACATAAACAGTAACTGTCAGAAGTTCATGGTGCTAGGCTCAATGTGTATCTACACAACGCATTAAAGAAACAGGGTTGGAGTGATCATTTCGGACAAAAACCCATGCACCCACACCTACTGTAGTGAACTCTCGCCTCAGAGGATACAGAAATTGCTGAGACCACACTGCCAAAATGGCATAAGCACTGAGACCTTAGATCCTAAAGGAGCGGACAGAAGGGCCATAATCATGGAACGTGCCTACAGGTGGAATCCGAGGGTTGTTTTCCTCTGCTATGACGATCACTGCAGTACTAAGATAAAATTGGTATCAGAGGGTCTGAAGGTGTCCCGATCCTCTACAGGGCCTATAAGGTTCAGCATCGATGTGAATGATGAATCTTACTCAGATCATTTCTTGGAAAGGAAGGCTGCTCATCACGTGTTCAAACTGCCGGACTACTGACGCATCTCGATTCTTTCGAACTGCAACTTGGACACAGAGAGGAAAACAATTGAGCTAAGCAGACATGCGTTTTGTCTGTCTAAATCAGCTTGGTCGCTGTCCCTGAATAATTACTTCTTATGCCGTTTTAAGTTCAGAATGATAGGCCTGCTCTCAGTCAGTGCTCTAACGGTGGGATTTTATACTGCAGGTGATATAATAAGTTTTATATTGGCTATGGCGGTCTGCCTGCCATTAGTGCCTGTGCTGCTTTTATTAATAAAGCTTAATAAACTATCCTGCTGTCCGAGGTGTGGTAACAGGTACTTCTGGAGGCACAGCTGCTCAGCGCTATGTTCCAACTGCACGATGAAAGCCATGACCCCAGACCACTATGTTGTCTGTACCAATGGTGGTAGGAAGGTCTCAGGATGCAAGCTGCTTTTCTTCAGATATAAAACTCTCGTTAGATACACAAGCTCTCTCATTTATTCTCTGGTAAAGATCACTAAGAGACTACTAAGCCTTTCCATCGTTATAGCTTCTTTTGATCATCATCTTTCTTTTGATAACTGCTCAGATTGATGCCAAGACAATCAAGCATGATGACTCTCTGTTTGCCAAAGAGCACTTGGATACATTAGGATTCGAGGAATATAATACCCGGTTGCCTCCTAATATGGCAAGGAATGCAGTGCAGATCATAGCTGAAACAGGCAACTGTGATAGAGGAGAAATACTATCTCGACAAAACTGCCTGCCGTATCACTTTCAGCAGCAGGGTTCACCTTGACACAAAAGAATGGCCGAGCAGACAACCTGGACATAATAATACTTAACACTCGTATAGCTGGATTCAGAGTCTTTTTATATACTACATGTGCTACTGGAGTTGTTATAAGGACAGGTGATACTTGTACTGACGACTGCTCTACCTGCAAGGAACTCATAACGAACCCAGAAGACAATGCTAACGTTATTAGTGATCCTAGCCTGACATGCCAAACTAGCAGACCAGGCACATCAAGCTGGAATTGCGACGGCCCAGGATGCATATCAATGAATAGAGGGTGTACCTGTGCTTAATTATTGTTACCACCAAATGAAAAGACCATGCACTGAAGTGTTTGAGATCATAGATGAAAAAGTGGAGGCTCAAGTGTGTTTCAGGTTCCAAGGTCAGTCAACTTGTAAATGGCTACAATCTTATAAAGGGTCAGCTGACGTCTCCAACAGGGTGTTACTGGACGAGGCACCAGAGACTAAAATCAGGTCTAAACTTTATGCTCAAACAGGCAGTGTCATCAAAACCGGGGCTATTAATAAGAGGGGCAAATTTTCCAAACAATTTGGCAGCATCCAATTTTATGACCGAAGGGACACTCTGGGGCCCGACGCAGTGGGCACCTGGGGCCTGACGCAGTGGGCACCTGTGTTTGTGAGTTACAGGAACATTATAAATGCATTTTTGCTGCACATAGATGGGTTGAAATAGATCACTGTTGTCTTGACTCTTATGGATTTCTCAAAAACCTTGGCGACTTTAAAGGAATTTCCCCTATCCCTCATGGTGTTGAAAAAGAAGGTAGCTTGGTTGGGAATGCGGATATCTTATTAACATTGGAAGATGTTATTGTTACTAAGAGAATAACTGAGCTGGAGGTGTCAGAGGTTGTAATTACAGGTTGTTCAGGATGTTTCAACTGCCCTGAAAACACTATTGTTGAGACGGTTGTTTATTCAAGTCTGCTGACCAAGAGATAACAACACAGGCAAATAACTACAACAATTCCAGAAGACAAAGGGAATATTGCAAAATGTATATATGTGTTAATTAGTTTTCGTCATTGTAAATAACAAAATAAATAGCAGTTGTCGAAGATGAATTCGTCACTGCTATTAAACACGTGTTGCGGCCAGTGGCCAGACCCTCGTGTAGCTTAGTCACCCAATATAACTATGATTGGCCTAAAGCACACATTCATTATTGGATCTATATTTGCCAATTAATCCAATGGTGTCAAAAGTTTAGATTAGATTATATCTATTGAATTTATAGTTATTTTAATACTGTGTTCGGGTGTATTAGCACCCAAAGACCAATTTCCACCTTCGACGAACCTTTGCCTTTCTTTCGCATCCTATGCTTCCTCAGACGGTTGCCTTGCAAAGGTCGACCGTTACGTTTCAGGCCCACAAACCACTTCCGGTCACCTTTGNCAATATATACCATGACTAGTTGTTTAATTTAGATTCAACACCGCACTGTTAAAATGTACAAGTGGTCGCGTCTGGCGTCGAAGGAGCATTTTTCGATTTCTGCTCGTGCAGCAGTTTATATAGGCGTCGCCACGCGCGCGGTGCATGCTCAGCCACGTGCCGCATGCGCCAACCACCGCGTCCGTCTCATCCGCGTTCGGTTGGCTTCCGCTCGGCTTCACCACCTTTGCTCTGGATGGTGGCGGCACCTAACGGGAAAGACCCGCTATTCTGTGCCACTACCCTCCAGGAGGTGGCGCCGTCTATTCGCAGGAATGCGTCACACGCGCTCAACATGGCCGCCGCTTTCGGCGTTGATGGAATTCACGCCTGATTAGCGGCAACTAAGCCACTTGGACTAGATTACATGGATGACTGATCAGCTAGTGTCAGTCCGCATTATCGTCATAACATAGACAATGCCTTAGCCCTATGTTAACATTAACGTTTTGCAGTCACCGCACGATCACGCCAGCTAATTAGGATCCCCCTCGGTTAATCCTTATCAGCCAGCACCCCATTATCGCGACACGCGGCAGCCATCTTAACTGCGGCCGCGTGCGGCTGTATTGATTGCCTCTGGTTGCCAGGGGCAACGCTGTTCAATCAATACCTCCGTGTCGCAATCGCGAGGCGATCGCGTCGTGTCGGGGAGGGGGGGAGTCTTGTAACAGGGTCGTTACAATCAAAGAGAGCGACTCGAGATGGCGCCAGCTAGGCTGGGAATCGCAGTCATGAATCTCCGGAGTGTGACAGGCGGCCGCACATGGGCTGACCTATAGATAACGGTGCTGACCGATAGATGGCCGTGTTGACACCATGGTCCGAATTAGCCGTGGCATCGCGCCAAGTGCGCACCACGCATCCCGCAACCATATTAGGTAGCGGGAGATAGCGGTAGGAATCCGCACTCTGCCGTATTCGGGAGGGCCGGTTGGTCAGAGTTGGGAGCTAAAAGAGATCTGTGACGTAAGGGGAGAAACGCGATCGCGAGACCGGGGCGCACCGTATAAAAGAGGAAGCGGCCGACTGCTCGGGGCTTGTTGTGACGAGACGTAGTCTGAGAAAGGTGTAAGTTGCGTGATACGGTTACTATGCACTGTAATGCTTTTCTATTCGTTAGCGCACTGACTTTATGTATTGTATTAGAGATATAGATATAAAACACTAGTGAACGTGTCTTCTCTTATCTCTCTCTGTAGTCTATTAGTCTGTAGTCAAACACATATCGCAGCCGCCACAACTTTTTTCCTGTTTTTGCGCACTGCGAAAAAACGGCGATGGACATGGCTCCCTTTCTTGGATTGTTGGGCCAATGCTGGCTCCCTTTCTTGGATTGCTGGCTCCCTTTCTTGGACTTTCCCAACTTGGGACCTCTGCCAGACCCACATGTAGCTTAGTCACTCAATATAACTACGATTGGCCTAAAGCACACATTCATTATTGGATCTATATTTGCCAATAGTCCAATGGTGTCAAAAGTTGAGATTAGATTATATCTATTGAATTTATAGTTATTTCAATACTGTGTTCGGGTGTATTAGCACCCAAAGACCAAATATGTATATACTTTCGATATAATTTTACAAAGCATGCACACCATCCTGGAAGATTCCCAGGCGGTGCATATTGTCATGCGTGTCCTTTATCTCAATCGCGCAGCGTATAATGCTCCGCGAATATATTAATGTTACACTGACAAAGTAACGAATAACAAATGTTTAGGCTTAAGCTTAATTAAGATGGTCTAGGCCCATTAGCCCAGTCGTCAATGTGCAATTAGTGGGATGGCTTACATTCGTCAGTATAGTGCACAGCACCACCAGCTGTCTGGGATGGCTGAGAGTTCTGACACATAACAGTCTCAGTTCTCCTAGAGCACTAACCAATACCACCCCTGTGTTCATACTCTATACCCATACTCTATCCCACGATTGTCCAAGTTATGCCAAGGTTGAGTTAGATGTCCTTATGCAAACTAATAAAGAAATAACCCTAGTGTACAACCATTTTATCGCTCCTGCATTGCATAATCAATCATGCACTCTTATCTATTGTGGAGAGTCTTGGTAATTGCAAAATAACCTCAATCGTTTCGAATTAGTGGAGAGACCTTTGTGCGAGAGGTACAAAACCTGTTCACATCCTTGTCCAAATTCTTAATTGTAACCGTTGTGTAACCAGACTCCATTGGCATTGGTGCCGTGGAAAGTAGCATCTGCACCATCGCTTCTTTGCCTGGTAGGAATAGAGGCAAAGTTTTCCTCAAGACTGCGCTAGCTAGTCTTCTTTTAGCACTTTTATAGGAGTGCGGTGTGATCATCCGATCTGAAGCACAGGACTCAGCTTTCCCTTGAGCTCACGTGCTAAAAATGTTTAAATTTCTGCTGTAGAATTTTTCCTTAGTTTGGGTATTCCTTGACAGCAACATTTTCCCCCAGAGCTTCAGAGAACACGTTGTGATTCCCGGTACAAATGTCTCCAAATCCATTTACTGTTACCTTGTAGGTGGAATGTCTGACCACACAACTAAGGGTAGATTTCTGGCTCTTGGAGTCATGCGCATATCAGGATATGGACTGACGTTAGTTGGACTACTCATTCAGGTGGGTGATGTGTTGCGAGTCAACCCGGTTAGCTTGTTATTGGAGCTGCGTCACGAGAAGTTACAAGAGTCCACAATGAGAATATACACAATTCTCGAAATGTTGAGGACAAAAGGAAGAGGCGTTCCAAGAGTTATCATACTATTAGGAAAAATGATAGATCCTCAGTACTTTACTGGACTATCCCTGAACAAAAATGGTCTCTATGGACTCATTCTATCAAACATCCTGGAAAAGGCAGGACAAACCAGCATCAAGAACCATGGTATAGGTTATACAGAAATATGGGAATTTTATAATAACCGAATTTAGTAAGCGTACGGGGCAAGCCTTTGTGTAAACGCGGATCACCGACGCGCAGCTGACCCCGTACGTTCCAGCCAATGAGAGAGTGACCCATGCAGCGTGACCAATGGGAGAGGACGCCGTATATAACCTTTGTACATGCAGCACGGCTCGCTCTCATTCTACTCTACTATTTGCTATCACCAGACAGACGTGTCTCATTTTACTGTGCTCCAGCGCATTCATCTCACTTTGATATGTAAGTTATTTGCTATAAAGTGAGTGATAAGACAACACCTAGATTAATATCATACTTTAGTTGTAGAGCTAGAATAGTAGACTGGATGGTGGTTGGAGCTTTCACTACTTATCACTATAAAAAAGAAAAAACGTTTAAACACACAACTAGTGGGACACCACTCGTTGATATAAGGGGATAAGATAAGAAAAGCGTGGGAAAAATGGCTAGAATTTGTAGAAGTATCTGCTGCAATGGGCGATGCTTCTAAGTGGGACCATTCACTATATCCAGATCTCTTTGGGCTAGAGTGTGTATTTTTTGTAGTTTCTATGACTCTAGTTGCTGGCCCGTTATTAAAAATATTTATGAACATGTTACGTGGCCTATTTGTTTCACAAGATTAGGGTTTGCCTACGCACCTATGTGACACCGTATGTCAGGATGGATACTAACATGGATGAATTCATTCATGAACGCCATGCTGCACGAGTGGGCATGGAAGAAGACTTTGAAAATAAGTATGACGGACGATTTGAACAAACATTTAACCTTGATGGTAGATGGTGATGATAACGTGCATATTGGAAAAAGATCAGTTGTCAATACGCAAAATATGCAAATGGTGTTATGCCCGTCTTAACATTACAATTAGATCCAAGGAGCGTACAGGCTACAGAATTACTTCAGACATTACAGATGTGGACTATTTGTCTCATTACCTGTAGCTATTAAATGTTTAGAATGTTAGGTCCTTGCCACCAATACCTGGAAAGAAAGCAATACTTGGATCGTATCATTTTTTAAAGATGTTGCCAGTCAGACCTATTTCTGAAATAATAGGAGAAATGGTTTATACTACAAAAAATTCAACTACATTAAACACACCATTAATCTCTAGAAATAAAATGTCAGGCATTGAACCCAGCGCAGTAGGAAAACAAGGATTGAAAATAGAATCTTCTAAAGTCTCATCATATCTGCTACTTTATCCGCACATCCCTTGCATTCGAGCGCTATGTTTGGGTATCCTGTCCACAATAGGTTTTTATGCTGATGGAAAAACATGGCATGACTATAAAACAAAAATGAAATTGGGTGAAAATACATGTGAATACTGGGAGAGGACACGGTATATAACCTTTGTACACGCAGCACGGCGGCGCTCTCAGTCTGCTCTACTATTTGCAATCAAACCTACATACGTGTCATTCTTACTGTTGCTGCCACCGCTATCCACATCACCGTTCGATATGTAAGTTAACATAGTACATAGTACCACTAGCTGCCTAGGCTGCTGACTAGACTAAGAATGCGTCTTAGTCTATAAGTATAACGATGCACATGCGACGTATTTTGTCACCATGTATCTAACAAACACGTGTTGTAACACGCAGGACTGTGTGCACCACTCTATGTACATTGTACGTTTTACGATAATGTCAATATATGTTTCACGATATAACACCACGGTATGTTTCAGGATATAACTTTAATGTATAGGCACGAGATAACGTCAATATATGTTGCACAATGTATTACACAGTATGTTTCACGTATGTTCATGTACCATGTCCATGTCCAGCAACATGTCCACCATTATAGTACCAGTCATGACGTACTAACGCACATGTTTTAAAATAAATGCGATCAAGCTGGGGGACAAAATTGTTATTAGGCAATTTCAGAGATCGATGTATGCGTATATAATCGTATATTGCGTGTTTTTTGTGTGTGTGTACGTAAATGCCGTACATTAAACCAAACAATAAATTACAATATGAACAAATTATAAACTTCGGCACCACCAGAAATCGCCCAGGTGCTGAAGTGCAACATTCCGGGTCACATGAACTTCACGCGATACCTCGCAAATATTGCTGACGAGGCCACGTGGGTCAATGGTGACTACACGAAGTTTAGCCTACTGCAGTAGCAAAGGGCGTTAGTCTAGCATTCTGTACGAAAAAGCAGAGGCGTTCCTCGTGTGAGACGGCAAACATTTCTTAGTGTCTTTGACCACGTTTGCGACGATGACGTCCTTGCTGACGTCTGCAGTAACATAACATTTTCTCCCATGCGCTCGCACCTATCATCTGTCTCTCAACCGCTGGTTGATTTTGGTATATTGTTCCTTCATATATGCTATGGAGTCTTGCTCCTGCACGCTGTTCTCCTTCGTTCCGAAGAAAATAGGCAGGAACCAGGCGTTGCGCGGAACGACTTGCTCCATCTTCGACAAACCTTTGCCTTTCTTTCGCATCCTATGCTTCCTTAGACAGTTTCCATGCAAAGGTCGACCGTTACGTTTCAGGCCCACAAACCACTTCCGGTCACCTTTGTGTCTCTTCGGACATTTCTGCATTTTGCCTTTAGTCCGTGGCCACTTACAGGAGTAATAAACGGAGTAGTACGAATGGTTGTTCTCAAAACTAACTCTCGACACACGAGTTCATATACGACCATTGGAATCTATATTGCTCCTTCGTTGTAGAGCACGCTATTGAAATCGTGCGGATATCTTTTGACTATTCTACGAAGAACATCCCTGCAGCAATGAACACATCATATCTTAAGCTTGGGGAAGCCCGACAAGCGTTCTTAGAAGAAGTTCGCAAAGATCTAACTACACCGCAACTGAAACCTGTGGTACATTCCTCCTTCCCCAAATCCTACAAGAACTTCAAGGACAGTCTAGAGGGGCACCCAGAAAAGATTCGCACAATCGTTGCTCCCGACATGTTCAGTTTAGTGTGCGACGGTTGCTTATTCAAGTCTGCTGACCAAGAGATAACAACGCAGGCAAATAACTACAACAATTCCAGAAGAGAAAGGGAATATTGCAAAATGTATATATGTGTTAATTAGTTTTAGTCGTTGTAAATAACAAAATAAATAGCAGTTGTCGAAGATGAATTCGTCACTGCTATTAAACACGTGTTGCGGCCAGTGGCCAGACCCTCGTGTAGCTTAGTCACCCAATATAACTATGATTGGCCTAAAGCACACATTCATTATTGGATCTATATTTGCCAATTAATCCAATGGTGTCAAAAGTTTAGATTAGATTATATCTATTGAATTTATAGTTATTTTAATACTGTGTTCGGGTGTATTAGCACCCAAAGACCAAATATGTATATACTTTTGATATAATTTTACAAAGCATGCACACCATCCTGAAAGATTTCCAGGCGGTGCATATTGTTATGCGTGTCCTTTATCTCAATCGCGCAGCGTATAATGCTCCACAAATATATTAATGTTACACTGACAAAGTAACGAATAACAAATGTTTAGGCTTAAGATTAATTAAGAGGGTCTAGGCCCATTAGCCCAGTAGTCTATGTGCATTTAGTGGGATGGCTTACATTCGTCAGTATAGTGCACAGCACCACCAGCTGTCTGGGATGGCTGAGAGCTCTGACACTTAACAGTCTCAGTTCTCCTAGAGCACTAACCAATACCATCCCTTTGTTCATACTCTATACCCATACTTTATCCCAAGATTGTCCAAGTTATGCCAAGGTTGAGTTAGATGTCCTTACGGAAACGAATAAAGAAATAACCCTAGTGTACAACCATTTTATCCCTCCTGTATTGCATAATCAATCATGCACTCTTAAATATTGTGGAGAACCGGAAGTCAGATTAGCAACAGACCAATTCATTAAAACAAAATTACCTATATGGTCAGATGGTTTAAATCCATGTTCTCCACAAGAAGAAGTAGGAGTAGCCAGTACCACCAGTCTCTTAGAAGCCGAGTCAAGGTACAATGATGAAGAAATCTATAGATCGAACCACTTGCTTGAATGTAATAACCCAGGTAATGTCTTCAAAAGAGATATCACCTAATGCTCTAAGTTGGACCACACCCCTGTACCCAGGTCCAGGATTAGTCTATAAGGTATTAAATAACACTCTATATATTTGACACGTCATATATAGAGGATTACAACAATTGACCCCGGAGAAAAATGGATTAATTGGCATAGATTTGAGAGGCACGGAAGTTTTCTGGAACCCATGAAAACGGGAAGTTAGAGGAAATCTCCCATGTGGACAGGTTGGAATAAATGGAATGAGAGAAGACAAAAACTGTAAGGTGATAATACTCCAAGCTGAGTTCAGAAAATCGGTGTTTAATGAGAATAAATACACATTTTCAAGACATCAGTTTTATGCGTTGGTGCTTGGGCAGCGACGGTGAAACTCGGTTGGACGACAGATGATTGATGTCACGTTGACTTGCCATTCGATGTCCCACCCACTTGACCCGGCGAGGTCTTCGTATCGACCAATGACCGGAGGGAGGACAGGCTTCAGCGGGCAGAACCAGCATCACAATTTTTGAATAACCTTTTCCTTATTAGGTTTGAGACAATCTTTGTCTCATTTGATATTGTTGTCTCATTTTCTTGTATCACATATTGTTTGTTTCAATTGCTAGCCTGGTTTATAGAAGATTTCTAGGTCACTCCCCCAAACTACATTTGTTAATCCCTGTGTCACAAATATTCTAGTATTTTTACATGATCTTTCGGTCATAGTCTGACTAATTGAGAAAAATTGCGTTAGTCTGATTACTACAAAAAGAAATCAACAAATTAAGCTCGCACACATAACCTATGGGGTCATTTCGTCGAAAACCGATGTCAGAGCGACAGGAGTTCGTGAAAGGGGAAAGACTATGTTTCGGCTGCTTGCAGAGCGGTCACTTGTCGAGGAATTGTCCCAGGAAGAGGGAATGTAGCAGGAAGCACCCACCACCATGCTGCACTCGACCAGCGACAAAACTGAGAATCGTGCGGAGCCACCCAAGGCAAAGAACAGGAATCTCACGGAACCGCCGACAGTATCATATGAAAAGGTCGTATACACGGGAGAAGTCTCGTATAGAGAATGTCGATCAGCTGTCATCAATGATAAAAACACTGCAGGAGTCGAAATCATACATAAGTTTCCAGAGGCAAACCGCGCCTGGAACGCATTTACTAGTACTACAACCGAAACCATTGCTGAGTACACTGTAGTCCGGCCACACAACGTCCACTTTGATCCTTATATTAAAAAATACCTAGCCCCTGTCTTTATCGGTGGCAGCTGCAGCTCCTCTTACTGTGTCACGATTCATAGTGACACGGTCTGGTTAACTGAACATACTCTATCCCAAGATTGTCCAAGTTATGCCAAGGTTGAGTTAGATAACCTACCCTATGCACGATCGACACATACAATACAATACGGGGATATCATGGACGAGGGGATAAGTGCGATACGAGCCGGCGAAGTGCTGTACCTGTTCAGGTGCACACCCATTCGGGTGAAGGCACGATCGACGCGTCGCTTGCTATGGGTACTTACCAGTGTATGCCTCTAATGTTCCCCTTTTCCTTAAGCCATTCACGCATTTCCTCACGACAGCAACTCCGGAAATACCATGCTACACTCCGTTGCGTCCGTTGTACAGAGTAGGGGCTGTCTGGTACGACGCTCAAACAAAGCAAGTTGCTGCACAACCTTACGCACTTTGCTCACTTAGGCAGATACGAATTTGCTGGAGAATACCGTGTGCAAGGGTTAATGACCAAGGAAAGCTTTGCAGCCTTTGTTACCTCGTTACAGGCGCCGAGTCGACGACAGGCATCAGCGACTATCCTTGCGGAAGCGGCATATGGAACGGTTGATCTCACTGCACATGGACCCCAGTTTTCCTCAGTCTTAGCAAACTTTCGTGAGAGCTTATCAGCGGTCGCCAACACGCTCGAGCGGATAGGTGCCTGGTGTGAGCATCTGCCTTTCGTCATGATGGCCTATCGGGCCACTGCACAAGCATCTACAGGATGCTCACCGAACCTCATGTTTGGACGGGAGATTCACTTACCTATAGACGTAATGGTGGGACCACCTCCGGAGAGGCAAGCGGTTAGACAGTGCACACATGAATACGTACAATGGATACGGGAGGTAATGGGGGAAGCGTACAATTTTGCAAGAGGCGCAATGAAGAAAGCTGCGAAGCGACAAAAGAAGGGCTATGATAAAAACGTAAAGCCAATAGGATTCAAAGATGGAGACTTTGTGTGGTTCTGGTATCCACCAGGGATACGAAGGAAGCTAGGACATGGTTGGCAAGGGCCCTACCTAGTACTTCACCGAATCAGTGACCTGCTCTATCGGATACAACGGGGACCACAAGCAAGAAAGAAGGTGATCCACATAGACTACCTGAAGCCGTATCAAACGGAGGAGCCGCCACTGGACTGGAGGAGGGCACATTCAGAGGCGCCATCAAGGTCGACGGAGGGAGGAAGTGCCGAACCAGCAGAACAAGTGGAGGACAACGAATACGTAATATGGGAGGAAATTGCTCCGAATGAGGATGAGGAAGCCGACGGAGGAGAGAACGAGGAAGTACCAACGACGGCAAGCCCTCCAGTGAGGAGGGGAGGAAGAGTCAGGAAGCCGCCTCAACGGCTAGACTTATAAGCGGAGGGCCCCAGTAAGGAAAGTATGGTACAAACAGAACACAGGCAAGAACGTTTTCTCTTTCCAGATGGACATACTGGAGATCCGGGTAGATCCCCGAGAAATGATCTCGGAAGACGAAGGCAGAGCCACACCAAGGCCGGGCCGGTCGTCACGAGCACGCCACCGCACACCCCAGTGCCCCAATGCCGGTACCAAACCGACGATCCCGGTCGGATGTGCCGGCATCAACAAGAGAGGCACGGCGGGATCCACTCCTCCCGGGTGGACGAGATACCACGACGCCCAGGGTGTAACCGCGACCGAGAGAGGAAGCAGGCGCAGGAGCAGCGACGCCGGCAAGCCAGGGCACACTGGTCGCCTTGGCGCCGCCACATTGAAAAGCATCCGGAGGATGTGGAGGTGCTGAGCCTCCCATATGCTTGGGAGGGGCAGCCGATAGTCAGCCCGGGGTGCCTGCTGGGTGTTGTAACACCCGTACAACAAACCCCACGGCAGCAAGGACACGAGCCGCTGCAAGAAAGGCGGATAAGGAGCGACCAACGGCTAGCTGAGAGAAGGGGGAAGATAAAGACAGATATGCGAGCAATTGAGGAGGAGGAGAACTACCAGCGGCAGCTGGACCAGGAGGAACGATGCGAGAGGGGAAGAGTGAGAGAAGGAGAGGCTGAGGGAGAGAGGGAAATAATAAAGCAGTTAAGCCAAAGCTTGGAGGAAGCAAAGGAGGAAATAGCGCGACTAAGCCGGAGGGTGGAGGAGCTAGAGGAAGGGGAAAAGGTAAAACAGTTGCGCGAAGATTTGACCCTCAGCCCATCAAATAGTGACAGCGAATGGGAAGCAGAATAGCTGGCCGTGAAGATTAAAAATAGATAGGCCTATGGGCATAGATATAGCGAGGGAGAGAAGTCCCATATATACATAGTACATATACCGATATCCAGTATCTATATAGTAGTCAGGGAACTGTGTATAACCAAGGCAATATATATATATTTTTTTTGTATATACATATTTTGGATATTAGATTGTTAAAATAGAGACGATTCAATTATTAGGCATGATATATGTAGTCTCATGAATATTGCGAAAGACGATTATACGGGTG